AAGATTCCCCCTTTTGTGAGAGACTCTCTACAGCTGATTTTATGCCGGAAACGATACCATCTATGGTCTTTTGCTGTTCTCCCTGGCTTTGACATGTGCTTTGTAAAAGCGAAATATCTTTTTCAAAGGACATTTGTTTTGCCCCTTGACTTTCAGAGGTGTTTTGCAAGGACAGCATTTCCTTTTCTAAGAAAGCTTGCTTTGCGCCCTGGTTATCAGACGTGCTTCGCAGCAATGTTATGTCCTTTTCAAGGGATTTTTGCTTGACATCCTGATTCCGAGAGGCAGTTTGTAAGGATGATATGTCGTATTCTAAGGATTTATGCTTTTCTCCCTGCTTTTCAATGAGAGCAGAATTCTGCTCATGGTGCGACTTGGCAGCCTTGATGCCTTTCGCGAGCCTGTCTGCAAGGTCTCCTGTGTCTTGCTGGAGCTTCTGCATCTTTATGGGATCACACTGACTTTTGATAAAGTTTATGGTGCGTCCCTGCATTTCAACTGTTGTCTTGAGCTGGTTATGCTCAGAAGTCGTTGTAGAGGTAGCAGGCTGGCCCTTGTTGGCGGCTATCTTTTCTTCCATTGTGGTGCTGACGCCATCGAGCTTCTGCTCGAGCCGGCTGAACTTCTCCTCCAACAATTGGTGTTGCTGTCGGCCTTCTTCGACTTTATTTTCCAGAAGTTGGGTTTTCTTCTTCTCGAACTCGAGGCTGTCGACCAGTTTCTGGATCTCGCTATTATCTGGCCCCTGAGCGACTGGCAAAGAGGTTTTGAACCTGTTCAGCTCAGTCTGTAAGTAATCTTCCATCCATGCCTTCGTTGGCTGGTGGGGTTCCAGTGATTGTTGCAGCTCTGATGGGGAGTTCTGGAACTTTGTCGGAGAAGAAATTGCTCCTTCTTGGGTGTTGGATCCTATGGAAACCTGATCTTGCACGTATTGCTTCAACAACGAATCGAAAGTATCATAAAGCGTTGGGTGCAACTCTTTGAGTTTCTGCTTAAAATGGTTCTTTTCGGTCTCGCATTTTTGGGTAGCCTGACGTTGCAACTCGTCAACAGAAGGATAATCAAAATTTTTAGTAGTCGACTTTTTCCAGTCATGCATTATTTTCTTAAGCCTGCTATCAGCTTGGTTGTGCTGCATGCGTAGATAGGCTGCATGGCCGAGCAGGTCTATTACATGTGGCAGGCCTTCAAGTCTCGTGGCGCGTGGCTCGGCTGTAGCGGTCGATATTGAACCTAAATGGTGTATGTCAGCGATACTCTGGTCATGTACTTTCTCAAGACTTGTGCTCTTACCGCGATCACTAGCATTCGTTGACCTCCTGGAATAAGATCTTTCCAGTGGTTGTTTACTGTATTTACTGTAAGGCAACGCTCCCCCCTTCCCACCGCCCCTCCCCCGATCATAGTCTGCATCTCTGGAATGAGACGATTCATCTCGGCGGTGTGAGAGGCGGTCGGGGAATAACTCTGAGGGGGAGCTACCGGCTGGTCGGCGACCGTATCGATCGTCTCTACCAGCCATTGCGGCTCCGGTAGTGAAATGGAGCCTTGAGCATCCGTCGAAATGATGAATAAAGTGTTCAAGAAAGGACGAATGCCGTGCGCGCCGTTGGATGCGAATCGAAGGTGGCCCAAGGAGGAGGGTGAGAGGGTATCGATGAGGACTGTATGCGACCGGAGGAATTAAGGGGACCGAATAAGGACTGCGCTAAGTAGGTAGCACTTTGTACCAATGCACTTTGTACCAATGCACTTTGTACCAATGGGACACAAGACCAAATAGGTACTGAGTTGGGTGGTGATCGGACAAATAGTTGAGTGAGGCGGGAGGCAATCGCGTCGATGAATCGGTTGGGTGTGTGAGTACCTAGAGAGAGTGCGGCAACGCCTACTAAGAAAACAAAGGAGAGTTAGAGAGCCTCGGGTTGAAGAGAGAACAAAAGGAGTGAGAGAGGGGAAGGAGAGGAAAAGCAAAGCGAAGCGTGTGCATTGAACGAACGAGGATAGAAGAAGAGAGAAGAGGGAAAAAGCAATGCGAGGCGACACAAGAGCGGGAGCACGGATGTTAAGGTAAGGTAGTTAGCCGGTTCATGAAGAGAAAGGAAAACCAAGAAAAGATCTGGAAAAAAAGGACCAAACTAACTAATAAGGTATCCGTTACACCTGGACCAGGGCTACGCAGTGTGGAGTTCAGTTCGTGTGGATTATCATCATATGATATAGGTAGTTAGGTGGTTGCAGATGAATTTCATCAAATACCTAGGTAACCTAGGTAGTTTATTTGGGGCAGCTCAGTTGTTAAGTATAATAGACCCCTAATCCTCGCTGAATCACGGCCTAAGCGATCAGAGTCTAGACTCATCTAAGAAAGAATAGCGGTTGGTCCGATGATAGGTGGTTGCCCAGATAATTGACACTAATGATTTTAGTCTCTATAAAGTGGAGGGGAAGCATCCTCTATTCTCGTCATACGGGAGAGGACAGCATAAAACGAGGACGGCATAGGGGCAAGTTATCTAGGTAATGTATTTAGCATCTACAAATAATTATATATTAGATGACTTAACCAACTGACTCCTAGTGGAAGCCTACCTTGGGTACGGACTCGAGGAGATGATATGTATAACCTTGTTGGGTTAGTTGCTCCAGCAGCTGGAGCTGAATGGATCTCTCAAGTCTCAGGTAGGTACTCGCGTGTAATCGCGTCCATGCAGCGCTGTACCGAGTTGTGGAGTCACATGGATTGATTTCACAAGAGTGGATCACTAATGTGGCGGTGCGTACCCAGCACATGGCGCTAAGCGCTAACAGTCACCCTTAAGCGCTAAGCGATAGCCGCGTACTAACAATTTTTTGCTCGAAAGTTATGCGCAGGCTCGTGCCGTGCAGCTGTCGCGATCTAGCTCCCAGCCCTGCTCTTCAAGCTTTCTTCATCAAAGCCGTTGCCTTACAACTCAATTCCATAACGATCGCTTACATTACACTCGCGCATAACACGCGACAAGATGGCTGCCGTAAGTAGAATCTGCTCATACCTTGCGCGCAACCAATCGCTAACAGTACATTTCCACAGCCTGTGATGACCGTGTCAGAGTCCAAAGACCTTCGAGGTCTGAACCTGATCGCAGCACACTCCCACATTCGAGGCCTTGGTGTGGATGCAACAACCCTTGAGCCTCGAGCTGCTTCTCAAGGTCTCGTTGGACAGGAGAAGGCGCGAAAGGCCGCTGCTGTCATCTTGCAGATGATCAAGGATGGAAAGATTGCTGGCCGTGCGGTTCTCATTGCTGGACCTCCTAGGTATGCTCATAATCGCCATTATCGTGCTGCGCGCATTGACACATATGAAGCACAGGAAAGACTGCCATCGCCATGGGTATGGCTCAGTCTCTAGGCCCCGATGTTCCCTTCACAACACTTGCCTCATCAGAAATCTTTTCACTCGAAATGTCCAAGACCGAAGCCCTGACCCAAGCCTTCCGAAAGTCCATCGGTGTCCGGATAAAGGAGGAGAGCGAAATCATGGAGGGAGAAGTTGTTGAGATCCAGATCGACCGCAGTGTTACTGGGAGCGCAAAGCAGGGAAAGCTAACCATCAAGACCACCGACATGGAGGCAGTCTACGATATGGGTAGCAAGATGATCGACGCCATGACCAAGGAGCGCGTCATGGCAGGCGATATTATCTCGATAGACAAGTCTTCTGGAAAGATCACCAAACTCGGCCGATCGTATGCCCGATCTCGCGACTATGATGCCATGGGTGTCGATACCAAGTTCCTCCAGTGCCCCGATGGAGAGCTCCAAAAGCGAAAGGAGGTTGTTCACACCGTCACACTACACGAGATCGATGTAATCAACTCAAGAACCCAGGGCTTCCTTGCGCTCTTCTCTGGCGATACTGGCGAGATCCGGAGCGAGATCCGAGACCAGATTAACACAAAGGTCGGCGAGTGGAAGGAAGAGGGCAAGGCCGAGATTGTTCCTGGCGTCTTGTTCATTGATGAAGTGCATATGCTCGATATCGAGTGCTTTTCATACATCAACCGAGCTCTCGAGGACGACCTTGCTCCTGTGGTCATCATGGCCAGCAACCGAGGCAACTCCCGCATCCGCGGCACTGACTACCGCAGCCCTCACGGACTGCCTCTCGACTTCTTGGACCGAGTCGTTATTATCAACACACACGCATACAACCCTGAGGAGATCAAGCAGATCCTGTCCATCCGAGCCCAAGAAGAGGAGATCGATGTGCATCCCGATGCTCTCGCCCTTCTCACAAAGATCGGCCAGGAGGCAGGTCTCCGATACGCCAGTAACCTCATCAGCACCTCGCAACTTGTTTCTGCCAAGAGAAAAGCCAAGCAAGTCGAAGTCGGTGATGTGCAACGTAGCTTCCAGCTCTTTTATGATCCCGCCCGCAGCGTCAAGTTCGTGGCTGAGTCAGAGAAGCGCCTGATCGGCAACACAGGTGCAGTCGACTTCGCAGTAGGCGGAGCGGCCAGCAATGGCGATGAGAAAATGGATCTTAGTTAATTATAATGGCGAGCACAGCCTGGCGTTAAAAGGGTATTGGGTTGTGAAGATGGTAGACCTGAAGTGAGATGGACATCTGTATCATAGTGATTTGGGCGTAGAATGGGATAATACAAAAATCTTCAAAGAGCACTCAAAAAATAGTTTTACTCTCTCTCTACTCCCAGCGGACCAGTGATGACATCTCGTTTCAGAGAGGATATTTCCAGATGCTTAGTTGAATTCAGATCTTGTGGTGAACAGTGAGAAGTCCTGAGATACGAGGTTTCTGCTGCGAGTACTATAACTGGCAATTGTGCTACAAATATCATACTGAAGAAAACATGAGGCTTGTGCTGAGTATGTGATACTAGTAACAAGCCTAATGTTGGAGCGGTTGCTATAAAAAAACTATATACCTGAAGTCATGCCACAAACATCACCCTACTCTCCCAGTATCATTCACGGGCTTGGAGGCCCTTTCAAATCTTTGGGCAGGGCTGAGCATCAGTGGGCGTAATATTAAAGTGCTTTGAGAAGGGGTCATCAGTCGCAACACGAGGAACATGCTCAACAATACTAGCAATGCGTTCGGACTGTTCTGTACCCCAGAAAGTACTGATAAAGGCAAATATGAGATCCAGTCCAGAAGTGACCTAAGAAGAGTATCGGATTAGAAACATCGACAGATTCAGGGGGTGATCAGCGACTTACGCCTGAGGAAGACCAGACTTTGCCATCGATAACATAACGAGCGGGAGATACCCAGTTCACTCTAGGACCCATTTCCTTCATAGTCGCCCAAGCATTCTTGTTAGTCGTTGCTAAATGCTCATCCAGAACACCCGATCTAGCTGCAACGCCGGCGCCAGTGCAGATAGTCATCAATATCTTGACCTTGGGATACATCTTTGCAATGTAATCCGTGACAGCCTTGAGATTCGGGTTCCTCGCACCAGGGCCACCAGGAACAATAAGCAGATCAAGATCCAGGTCGTCGTTGAATGTATTGGTTGGGGGGATTGTTGGGAAGAAGCTCGAGTTGAACTTGTTCATAACCAACGGGGCTGTGCTAACAGGTTCAAGCGTCTCAGCGATGAGGTGAAGATTGAGTTGTTGGACGCTGAGCGAGAGGATCTGGAGAGGATCTAGAGGACCGAAGACATCGATCATGTCGAGAGCCTGGAATAGAACAACTCCAACGTTGCGGATCTGAGAGCCCGTGATGTTGGGGACGATGCCTGGAGTTATACAAGTTGGCTCAGCATCGCGCGAGTAGTAAGGAACATGGTCTTCAGGCCCAGTAGTAGTTGAGGCAGAGCTGGAACTCAAGAGGGCGAGGCCACTGAGAAGAGAAATCGAGAACTGCATGTTCGTGACGCGCCCTGATGTAGAGCTCGCGTCAAGATAGGTATGTTCTGTAGTTGACAAAAGCAAGATAGAATAGCAAAGCACACGCCTGTAAATGTTCTTGGACTACAGAGACACTCGACTATATATACTACCTGATATACATCCCAAATAAGTAAGACCAAGAAATCCTTCACTCAATCCGTAACAAATCCTCGATCCTCGATCCTCCGTGTTCTTCAAAAACCTTCTCAAAATTGCGCTCAGCTTCCTGCAGCCATATGCAGCTCCCCGTCTACCAGTTACAGCCAGTCATTCTCAAGCTTTCATCTGATTGAAACCTTTTATAATTCTCCAGAGTGATCAAACAATCCCTCCTAAACTTGTGAACCAATATCAAGGCCATCATCTTCCTCCTAGAGCTTACATAGACGACTTTAACAGCCTGCAGTGAGAGCTCGTTAACGATGGAACAATGCCAAGTTTCCGCAGACTATTAGCCAATAACAAGATCACCTTGACTCGCTTCAGGTGTGCAACCCTGTTCAATATGTACTCTGTCATCTTGATCCCTGAACCCCTTGTTTCCATAGTACTCATCAATTCCCTGATACGACACGTGGTAGGCCTAGGTGGTCATCTTGGCCAATGTCACTCAACAAGCGATCATCTCTCTAGGCTGGTATGGCTTCTTTATTTCATTCTCGTGTTTCTCGTGTAATGTACCTTCTCCAACCGCCTCGTCTCATGGGCTCATGATGTAGAGATAGAGACTAGTTTCTCTACATCTTCTCTCGTTCGTATTTCGTTATTACCACCTCTTGCTACTTCCATTGGGTATTCAACCACGCCAGTAAGCTATGACGTCCAGCTCCTTGAAACCATCTCTCTATCCGTAGAGAGTGTATTTTCCTCCCATGAACTCCTATACGCACCGGGGGACGGTCTTCCAATCCCTTTTGTCCTAATAGAAAACAAACACCGACCAAATCGCATGTCTATACACCGATACATGGCACGCATCGCACTCGATTGAGAAAGGGGGTTCAGATGCGCCCTTCTAGCGCAGCAAGTTGAGCAGCCAGTGCCTCATTTCCTTTCAGTAGATCCTCCAGCCATTCCGCTGCCATCGCGAGCATAGTACTCTTACTGAAACCGCCTCCGCGCAGGCCAGGGACAAGATCACACAAGTCGTCAAACCCTTCTTTAATCAGAGTGCGCCGTTTTTGTTCACTCTTTATGTGGTTCTCGCGCTTCTGTTCTTCTGAAAGATTCTCTCTCGACACTTTGCTATTGTTTGCTGCGGACTTGCGACGTTTGCCCCCAGCAACGTCATCTGCAACAGCCGAAGTGATGGAACCTGCACGTTCTACTTTGGGTTTCCGCCTCCGCACAGGCTTCGGCGTGACTGTCTCTTCTTGCGCCTCTTCATCTGGAGTATCCTTGTTATTTCTGCTCTTCCGCCTCTTACGCGGGGGCGTATCAGCTTCTTGCACTTTCGTGAGCTCAGTCAATCTGCTATGAGGGAGCGACCCCTTGGTATGAAGTGGGCTGCTGGGTCGCGTGTTATCGGCACTTTTACTAGGTTCGAAACATTCAAGAACTTTGAGTTGTTCCTTCGTCAAGGACTCGGCGGTTTCTTTCTCCGAGTTGGGAGTATAGCCTTGAATGCGGTTGAAGTTGGCATCAGAACCCCACTGATATTCGGCAGGCGGTGCTCGATGCTGGCGCTTCTCATGGGATCCCATCATCCAGTCCGGGTAATGTTCTTGCTCGCTTGCTGCAACGCTACGTCGATGGTCTTCCTGGAATTCTTCTATAGGTTGGTGTCGTAGGTGGCCTACTGGAGGTCCTATTGGGTGCCTCTGTACCGAAGTATCAATTCCGTTGGAATTCTGGCGCTGATTTGGGCCGTTTTGAAGCAGAGTGGCCGCCGCGTTCAGAACATCATCGGGAGTGTGTCGATGCTCAGTCTGATGTTGTAAATGGGAAGGAGGAGGTGGTGGTGGGGGCATCATATGGGAGCCCAATGGTGCCATGCCATGGAACTCGTTCAGACTATGGGAGAGTCCTTGGGCCGGCTCGCCAAGTGAAGATCCTGGCTGCTGACCGAATGAAGTAGTGGTTCCCATGAATTGCGGAGGAAGACCTAGCCAATCTTCGCTGAAATTAAGCCCCTCCCCGAAGGAGGGCATATTGTATTGGTTGGCATGGAAATCGTTGAAGAAATTCGTTAGCATACTCTGGTCGGTATCTGTCAAGAGAGGAGCTCCAGGTGCAGGCGCCGGCGGATCGTTGATCGGAGGATCTTGATCAGAGTCGAATGAATCTGTTCGGATTAGAGATTAGCGGACTGCTCCTTGTATTGGTGGATATGATGCGAAGGATAAGGATCTCGGCGAGTGGTTCACTTACAGCCAAAAAGCATAAAAGGGTCTGAGGGCGGCTGCGACGAACCCATCCTCGGAGCGTGCTGTACGGCGAGCATGGATGCGTCTTTTGTAATATGGGGTTTCTGGAAAGCTAGCGCTGCGCTGCAAGTGAGCCACAGTAGATGTATAATTTTTGGTGATTTGAAGGACTGAAAATATCTGGCGGGTGTATCTCGACTCGAGGGTGTAAATGGTAATATTTCTAGAATGTTGTGCTTTTTCGTTCGACATCAAGCGATCAGGACAATATCAAGCTATGTTCTGCCTGTCTAGCAGATGGCAGTTCAAGCCCACCAGGTTGATGGCAAGTGAGTACGCCTGGGCAAATTTCGATTCGCTTCAAGTGAAGCGCAAAGAAGCAAACTGTTGTATCTGGCCGGTATTCAGGAGGTAGTTGCTGAGTCGCGAGAGCACGAGGCGGAGCAGATCGATACGATTGTGCCGGCGAGTGGTTCGTGAATATATTATAGGCTCTGCGATTGTATACGCGGCATGTACGTTGCTGTTTTATATGCTTCTTGGGTAGGAGACAAGGAAATATGCTGATAGTCGAGTTTTGTCGCTGGAAGCAAACAGCTGTGAAAGGAAGTTGGAGAAAAGCCGTTGATGGTAGAGTTGCAGAGCTGGCTGCTTAAGCCATGGACGAGAAAGAAGAATAATAAGAGCGACAGGGGATCAACACAAGAAGGGATTTAGTCTGGACGGGGAGTGCATGTGCTAAAACGTGCATTTGGTGCGTCACATCACACCCGCAACCTAGACCTAGATGAAGACGAAGAAGGGACAACTAGGGCCCGGCATCTCCTGCTTCTTCATAGGATGGCTTCTATGCTCCTGGCCGGGAAAGGTTTAGAAAATTACCTTGTAGAGGTCAAATGGCAACGGGCCAGAAAAAGGATGTGATGGGAGGAGGGTTGGGATCGTGGAGGTGAGTGTGGTGGTGGTGGTGGTGGTGTTTAACTACTAAGGTAAAGCGGTTTACTGTAGGTAGGCTAGGTTGGAGGAAAGCGGCGGGAGCCCACCGTGACTGTCCTAGGTGCAGACTGCAGAGGAACGGTACGGCAGGTGGAACTTGGAAGGCGGACCGCGAGTAGGTAGTAGCTGAGACTTGTATGGAAGGTCGTTTTGTTTTTGGGGAAATGCACCCAAGGACCAGGCCTGCACGGTAATTGGACTTATTGGCCCATGTTGAGCATGTTCAGGACCGTCTTAGCCATGTGGGGTTGCCTCGGAGCATTAGAAGCACTCAATCTCCAGGTACTTTCTACCTCGCTCGACCTGATCCATTGCGCTCTAGTCATTAATCCCCCATGTTCCCCCTCCCCCAGGTCGCTGTGTCACCTGCAACTTTCATCGACGTCGACCAGCGCCTTTTAGCCTTTGCAAAAAGCTTGGTTTTGAGTGTTGTTAGGGAAATCAGATCGTGGGTGATGTTCAACGAGTCGAGTCGGGTCTCTATCAAAACCATAAAGTGATCCAAGCCCCCGCGCCTTGTTCAACAATTACCAAAGCTCTTTCAACACATTCGTCGTTACATCCCCCCCCGAGACTCCCGGTAGGGTAAGGTACAGTACTGCCCGCCCTGTAGGTATGGGTATGGGTATGGTATGGGGGGTGTTCTATGGGTCAGATCACCTCGTCATGACGTATCCGTATATCCATAGTCTATGGGACTATCACATGCTTGAACCCTCTCTCATCTTCAGCACTCCCAACAGCTCTATTCTGCGACCTTGGTTGACGACGACGCCTCATCTCCAGCTGTCATTCATTCGCCCAGCCAAGCCCTAAGAGTCAGACAGTTCGTCCATTCTTGATTGGCTCTGTTTCTGCTGCTGAGAGACTCGGGGATTCTAGTCACCTGTAGTCAGCAACACGATGAGGCTGAACCAACAATAATGCATCGTCTGAATCAGCCAGCATAGCCACAAGCACATGCATGCCTCTTTGTTCTCTCGAAAGTGACTAAAAGACCTTTTTTTTTCTACATCGACTCGTGACCAGAGCCGGCCCGTGCCAGTATGATATTCAGGGCTTACAAGGGTTGATATAAGACCTCCCTGGAAAGGAAAGATGCCAACTGAAATCATGCTTTCTGTGGGAAATCAGGCCAGGAAGAAGAGCCGAAACCTGTTAGAGCCCCGAAATTCGTCGTGGGGCTTCCCTGCCGCAGGTTGTTTTGTTTTTCGAGAACAATTTCATTTCCATGTGTGAATCTAAGTATGTCACTTGGAATTCGGATACGAACCAACTGGCTTAGACGTAAACTTGGGGCTTTGATGCTAAGTGACAAAAAAGAATTAGGCAAGTCGGCATAAAGTTAAGGGGCTCTATAGTGGCTTTAATTTGGCACCCATCTTGAGGTCTGGAATTTCTCCCAGGAGTAACTGATCAACTGATGAAACTGTATATACCAAGTCGTAAGAGATCTGCATCATTGGCTTCTGGGCTGTTTTGTTCTCCTTTCTCTTCCGTACGAGATGTAAAATTTCTAATTCCGGCGGCTGTCAACTGAAGGATTCTCAATCATTCGGCCTTATAAGGTAAAATTTACGTACCGGACCCATCTTGTGCACATGCCTCCTTTCCCAATGCAGCAGCTGGCTATCCCTGTACCCCAGAATTACGGGCAGACAGGCGGGGCCCTCCCTTTGACCACATGCAAATTGTTGTACCTACAGATGTTAACGTTAGCGATAACCTCACTCAGCTGTTACTTAATCTCACACCTAAAATACCTACCTACCGTTACAACGAAACGACCCGGATCTGCTCAGCAGCCGTTACAGTAGAAAATCTGGAACGTCTCATGTCTAAATCTGTTTTCAACTACCGTGCCCAGCAGGCCCAGGCCCAGATTCATCGGTTCTCGGCTTTGGTTTAGCTGAGCCCCTGAACTCTCGGGTCATCATCGTCACCAGCGTCACCAGCAACATCGTCAGCCCTCCAATTCGGGCATTATCCGTATAATCTGCCACGAGTACTTTTGAGCTTAATTCTCTCTCGAATGCTCGCTAGGCTGTTTCATACTCTCAGCCTCACGGATCTGTTACTCAAAGAATAATAGTTTCTGTCGTGATAGGTTAGTTTCACAATCCCGCGTACGTATGGACGGATTTCTCTCATCTGCATCTGTATCTGCATCTGCATCTGCAACTCCATCACCATGCGGCGGCGCGGTTGCGCTACGCTACACTGCCTATAGCCTTCCTTGGCAGGGGGGGCGTTGTGATCTACCACCTGTCAAGGTAAATCATTTACGTATCTCTCCTCTCGGTCTATTTCCATACGATCCATGCTTGCCATGTTGCATATTCACACGCGGCATCTTGAATTGTCTATCAAGCCGAGGCTCCAAGTGAGAGCTCGGCGATGATATCTCCACATTTTTTATCATCTTCAAGGGGAGATTTTATCATATCAATCTCCTGACTGTTCATTTATTTCATCTGGCCAAGAGCCTAGATATCTTTGCCGCCTTTACCGTCAAATTCCTGCCATCAACCCTCTGTGATACTTCCTCAGGCGTTGCATGATGTTGGCATATCCCCCCGCTACTCCTAACCGCCGACCTCCCTTTTTCGATCATCTTTACACCACCTTTTTCTCTATTCATTATACTTTACAGGGGTAGATCTGTTATTGACCGCTCGTACACAGTCAAGATCCCCGCGATCATCCTTCTTGTCAGATACCCACCTTCTGAGTGCCACCGGTAGCAGGTGCCGTAGCCCTGCTTCGGGACATTGTTGGACATCTCTTATGCTGGAGCAGCATGGCTATGCCTGCAATTGATGTGCGCCCAGCCCGAAAAGGGCCCCTGAGGCTCGATTCTATTCCCGAGATCCTACGCCCTTTGATTCGCGCCTATCTCTTGGGCTATGCATCTGCCGTGGCTCCCCGGCTGTTGACATTAGTGTTACAGCATGTTGCGAAGAGAAAGAGGAAACTAGCCAACCAACTTGCCCCGGACCTTGACGATACCTCATTCGTCAGCTCTGCAGCACACATAGTGAAGACAGGCTTCAATCCGCAGCGGTTTCCCACGTTTTGTGCCATACTAGCTGGTGGCACTACTCTATTGAAGGCAAGTTAACTTATCCTAACCATGATGGAGTCTATCCAGTCCCAGAAATTCGCCTACGTTTTTCTGGCACTGGTCGCCTTGTCCTTGTTGGCTGTCAGAACTCACCGGAACGTTAATGTTACTTTGATATGCCGTTAGCTAATACGCCGAAAGGAACCTTTGAAAAGCATTCTAGAGAAAACTGCAAGGGGGCTCAGCGAGGCAGGTCGTTTGAGGTAGGCCTGCAGTTTCACTCTAATGAATCATGATGTTCTTTGCTAAACAATCGTCCCAGACTTGCAAGATGGTTGTCAACATTCCTTGCTGCCTGGTTTGGCCTGCGGCTGCTGCACTCCTACGAGGGCCGAGCGTATACCGAAACTGTGCCACCGAAAGAGGGTTCGGCCCATAATACCGAGCCTCAAACAGTCAAATTTGCTGGTCGGACAATGGATCTAACCCTGTTTGCCGTCACTCGAGCCCTCGATGTCCTTGTTGGTGATCTGTGGGCGAGGCACAAGGCCCGTCGTCTGGCCTCCAACAGGTGGTCCAAGGTAATTAGACCATGAAAATCACCTGATTGTGATTACTAGATATCCATAGTTGCTGACACCTTCCTAAGGCTGAACGATTTCTCTCCAAGTTTGTTGATCCCCTTGTCTTTGCAGCTTCATCGGGCCTTGTTATGTGGGCTTGGTTCTATCATCCCAGCCGTTTGCCCCGCAGCTACAACAAATGGATCACTTCGGCAGCTTCCGTGGACTTAAGGCTCATCGAAGCCCTTCGGCGGTGCCATTCAGGCGAGTTTCAGTACGGCAAGGAGACTGGTCAGGCACATCTCCTTCAAGGCATGTGTGTGGACTACGAGTGGCCACTTGCCTGGGGAGATCCTGCGGTAGTTGTTCCCATACCTTGCCAGATGGTGCACATGTCCAGCGGGCCTTCATGCGAGTACCATGCTGCAAGCCGCTTCTTTCGTGCCTGGAAGTGGTCGATGGCTACGTACTTGCCCCTGACACTCGCTCTCGCTCTTCGAAACCCCTCTCGCAAAGCTCTGCGTCGAGCCATAATCTCGTCTTGCCGTTCCTCTAGTTTCCTCGCCACCTTCATCACACTCTTCTACTATGGAGTCTGTTTGAGCCGCACACGCATCGGGCCTCGTCTTCCTGGCGGCACAACCATTGAGCGTCGTCAGAGCATGGATAGTGGGATCTGCGTTGGCACGGGTTGCCTGCTTTGTGGCTGGAGTATCATGATTGAAACAGAGAGCCGGCGAAAGGATATTGCGCTCTTTGTTGCCCCTCGTGCCTTGGCCACTGTTCTACCTCGACGGTATTCTTTGGACAAGGAGTGGCGAGAGAGACTTGTGTTCGCCGCCAGTACTGCCGTCGTCTTTACGTGCGTGGCAGAGAACCCCGATCGAGTGAGGGGAGTCTTTGGAAAACTGCTCAAGATGGTTCTTAGTAAGTAAACGAGCTGGCTCGGCATACATTACGAACTGGGACCTCTGTTTCAGTCTAATCATTCCCATCCTTCCTTTCTCAACGCAACCATTGTGTACAATAGAGCAACGTTGCATAGAATAGTACTTGAATTATAATGTATAATCATTAAGCAAAGAAGACGATATCTGGTCAAGGCCATGTCTGCAATGTAATATGATAATTCAACTGCAATGTATCTATGCTACTGAGCCAATTATCCCTTAAACCAAGCAACAGCCCCCAACACGAAAATACAGGCCAGTATATCACTCCTCACCGTGGTAAATATCTGGCCATAACGCATCACGACCTCAACATATCCCTTGGCAGGCTGGGGTAAAAATTGCACCACAGTACCCACAATGCCAGAAGGGGGGCTGCCTCTCCTATCCAGAAAGAAGCGAGTTGTGAGTAGCAGCGACTCAGCTGTGGCGAATGTCCAAAAGAACAGCTTTTTGCGGTGCTCCAGTTCCGTCTCAAGCTCAGGCTCAGTAGCTGCAATAAGCGGATCGGCGGGTGTTGTGCCTGCAAGGGCGGCACGCTCACGCTCGATCTTGCTTCCAGTGAAGGGGGTAAGTATGACGATATAGAAGCCCAAGCCGAGAGCTACAAGTGCATGGAGAAGACGCCAGAGGTTTGTAGAGGCGCTATTGCGGACGGCTGTGGGTGGTATGGGGGGCCCTTGGCCGGGCGCCATGCCTGGCATACCAGGAAAAGGAGGCATTGAGCCAGCAGGAAGACCAGCGCCAGCCATCAGCTGGGACATCATCTTCATCATAGGATCTTCCTCAGCTGCTCCGGGTGCAGGGCTAGCGGTACCGCTGCCATTACCACGCTCGAAGCCAAGCATCATCTGCCGTAGCTGGTCCTCTGAGATGGCGGGTTCTGTGATTTCAGGCGCATTCGTTCGTGAAGTTGCGGTCCGCTTCGGCTCGTAGTAGTGATCTGAAATATCGACTTCTTCTGGGTCGGCATGGTCGGCGGTGGCAGACACACCGGATGCTGAAGCAGCGGGTGCTGGCGCAGGTGCTGGTGTCGGGGCATCAGCCATGGAAGACGCAGTAGTGGGTTCTGGTTCTGTGTAAGAAAGTCAGCAACTTTGCAGCTCGAATTGTATGTAACAACTGAAACGAACCTCCTGGGATACGACCTCCAAGACCAGTAATCTTGTTCAACCTTGCAGAACCTCCGGCTTTGAGCTTGGCTTCACGGCGTTCCTTGCGAAGACGCGCTTGTTCAGCAGCTCGCTGAGCGGCAGCATCTTCAGGACTTTGCGTCGTCTCCGACATGATTCGATAGGTATTGTTAGGCGTCTATTCGGTGTTGATATTGAAATATTGGTATTGATGGGCTCTGGTGACGATGATGTGGTGCTCTGGTCGAGTGGGGATCCATTGACAGCTGGCCATGATATAGGGCAAAATGATGTAAGTCACCTACCCTGGAGACATATGCTGGTATCGCTATGCCTCCCATTTTTTCTTGACTCGTAAATAAATGATATTCAAAATTTGTATGTAATATTTCGTTCTCATACCTTGATTGCGAACGGATATCCTACTTCGCTACCATTCTGTGAAAATAATCACATCTCTTTATCAAAGGACACATCAGAAGTTCCGACGAGTGTCGAGCCAGGGGGGAATCGAGCCGGGGGTTCCAACAGTTGATTACGAGTGGGTATTTGAAGAAATATGACAGAATTTTAGAACCATGGTAACGTTGTGAAGTAGAAAGGCACACAATAACATCATCATTTATTTTTCTGTCTACCAAACCCTCGGCGTGATTGTCTTCATGTAAAACTTCGTCCCCAACGATGCACCCCGCGCTAGGCTATTCAACATCACATCCATTCACACCCTCGTACATGATCCATAAGCAAGGCAAAATAAGTCGTGTTACACTAGAAAGGAGCTCGATCACGGAGTAGCCTTGCTCATGCTAATCAATCGCTTGACACCGACCTATTGTTGGACGAGTTAGCATTGCCACCGAGTCATGACACAAACGAGAACTTACCATCCAGTTGCCGCACTCCTCAGTCTTGTCTCTCTGAAGCTCAACCTGAAGCTTGTGTGCACCTTCGTAGTTCTTGGCCTCAATAGCATTGGCAAGCTCCGTAAGCTGTTCAATTGTATCGGGCTTGACAAGTTCCTCGTTGTTGAGGTGGTCAAAGAGCAAACCAAGCCGCTTCTGCGTGTCCTTGACTTGGGGTGCAAATGTCGCTGGAGCCTTGGATGCAACTCGTTGCATATCCTGGTCTAGGATGTCTACCAAACGCTGGGCATTGGGCGGGATATGCGAGCGGTCACCCGCAGGATGTCTGGCCTTGGGA